CGTAAACTGGAATCATTTGGCTGTCCCAAGCACCTACTGGCGTGGCTCNGACTACTTCATAAACAGAACTCAGCAGACTCGGCTCGGTAGGAAAACGTCTAAACCACTCGTGAACAATTCGGGAGTACTACAGGGTGCCGTATTGTCTCCGTTCTTGTTTTCCACCTACATCAGTGATCTGTCTGCGAGTTCTCCAGCCCAGTTATTTAAATATACTGATGACGTAGCCCTCTGCCAAGCCATTTCTGTTCCTGAAGACCTTTTACATTTCATATTCATGAATTTTCCGTTCGTTCTGGACTGTTTCTTAATTTATCCAAGTGCCTAGAATGCACTTTCTTCCTTTCTCGATGTGTTTATCCTTGTGATCCGTCTGTCATAAATACGGATCCCCTAACTAAAGTTGAATCTGTGAAGCGTCTGGGAGTTACAATCGACACTAACTTAAAGTGGACATCCCATATTTACAACTCTGTACAGAAACTTCGCAAATTACCTTTTCAACTTCGAAGACTTAGGCAGTTCAATGCCAAGCAAAAAACCATTTCACTTTTTGTTTGGCAATGTGTTTCCCCCGTTCTTTATTGTTCTCCGGTGGTTTTTGCTGGTCTACTAAAGAAAGACTTCAAAATTCTTCGTCGCGGTTTGTCGATCATCAGCCGTTGATGAGCTATACAAAAAACTGTGAACTTCATTTCTCCGCATGTGAAACATTTGCCCAGAAAATCCTCGCTGACTCCAATCATTCTTTACATGGCGATTTATCTAAATGCTGCTCTCATACGTCTACACCTTCTTATCGATTATTACCCTCTCGCATTAGTCTCTACAGAAATTCCCCAGTTCCCTATCTTGCCAGAATCCTTGTAAACCGAGAGCGCGCTTCCTCAGAATTTCTCAGTAACCTCAAAGGCTAAATATTTTACTTGTATCTTTCCTTCTATTAATGAGATGTGTAAATTTTTGACTGAAATGCGAACATTCTGTTCTCGCAAAAGCCTATACAAATACAAATACAGATAACACCTGCATCACAAAGGCCTTTTGACCTACTTAATTGACCCATTTTTCACGTCGTGAACTTTCTACGTCTGTTCGAATTCTTTTCTGGTTGTATCCTTTTCGTATTACGTGTTTATGTTCAGCGCTCCTACGACCACGGCTAATCAATTACCATTACGTAACTGTTTCTACGTTAACATCCCCTACTCCTCTTTCACCCATACGCAAATGACTTTGGTAATGACTCAATACCCCAATGCTTTCTGTCTGAACCCCTGTAATTACGCAAATGTCCATATATGGTAGTTTCGCGGTTTTTGCCGCTCTTCAGGCATGCGTATCCGGTAATCTTTTGTCCATTCATTCATATACTTGTATCCAGGAAGTGTATTTTCGTCACAATACATGTCCTGGATACATAGCTCTATCTAATAGTCACCCTTTGTTGCAAACAAGGTTATTGTGACGAAAATACACTTCTTGGGTACAATTATATGAATGAACGGACAAAAGATTACCGGATACGCATGCCTGACGAGCGGCAAGAACCACGAAACCGGTCATGTGCTTCTAGGGAAATTTTGTCCAGTCATTCACATACTACTTATTATGAAGAAACAATATCACATTCAACAGAACCTGTTGCTCGGTCATAGAAACAACCAACCGATGCAAGACGCGAAAACAAAAAGACTGCTGTCAAACAACAGCAGTTATAAGGGAATATCTTCGATGACATTTTCGTCAAGACCGAATAGTAGCAGAAACTAAAAGCCGGGAAATTCAACCAGACAATCACTTAGGAGGCCTAGGGAAAAAGCGAGTGGATCACACGGGAAGTTTATCAACAAAACCGCTGATTCACACTCACCCATCCTTTTGGACTTCAGGAACTCGGCCAACTTTGACCGTACTGGCACCTTGGGTTTCTAAAGAAATTAGGATTGTAACAAAATTTACATGGTGAGTTACCAGAGAGAGAATCTTTACGAAAACAATACAATTTCCAAATATCCATCAAACATGTTAATTGAAAAGTAAAAGTAACACGAGTAATTCACGCAACTGTGCACGGTTTCACCTCCGATACAAGGGATAAAACGATCAGATTCTTGAATATTGTACAAAAGAGAATGATCGTTTTCAACGAATACCAAGCATAATCAGCACCCAGGGGATTCCACCTTGGGGCTCTATACACCGAATTTCTGCATCCAACCCGACAGCGATTAAATCAAGCCCCTACTAGGATTACGTAGCATTCTGAATCGAAATCCTAGCAATGCATCAGGAATTTGTTCGTCCGTTGATACGACGAAACTGG